TGCATTCAAAGTTACACTTAAAAAATATATATATATATATATATATACACACATTGAGAGAGAGAGAGATATTCTACAAAATGAGGAATGGTATATATTCCACAAAACTACAAAACTCCTTTGTTTCATAAGATCAAGGGAAGTAAATAAACCCACAAAATCCAAAAATCATTACCAACAAGAATCCATAGCTTCTGTGACATGGGGACTCCTTTCAATTCAATCCAAGTTCAATTTAAATTCAATTCTCGTCCAATTCTTTCCACCTCCAACCATGTGACACGCGGTCCAGCCGGCCGGCAAAGAGACTGGTATGTTTCAACAATTGTTGATCTTCTTCTTCTTCATCTTCCTTTTTCAGGTGTTGTCAAGGGTCAAAAGCCAACAAAGGTGGCATGGTAAGCGTAAAGTTAACAAAGAAATGTGATTGGGGGGCAAGGAAGAGGCTGTACAAAACCACATGGTGTGGTTGAAATGAAGCCATGCAAGGAGTGAAATGAAAAACGAGGAAGAATGGAAGATAACAAGATAACAGGATAACTCTCTTTTGATCCTTGCTTCTAGAAGCCTTGCCACGCCATTGCCATCCCCGCAAATTCCCCCCTTTCTATCTTTCTTTTTGGATTTATGAAATAATAAAAAGGGGTGGCAGAGGGGGTTTACATGATTTAGGGTTATTCCTTGCTCTGTGTATTAATAAATGCAAGTCCATTTGTGGGTTTTGTTTATTTGAGAACGCAACTTAGTCCACCATTTTCAACATAAAAAAGTATAAAATAAAATAAATATAATATATATATATATATATATATATGTCTCTGGGATCAAGTTCTTGTGGATAACTAATGATCCAAGAGGTGAAATGGCAGAGATAATGTGCAAAAATATCCCCACCCACACCCACATACACCCTTCCCATTTACCCTCCTTCCTGCCACAAATGGATGGATAAATGACCCCTCTCATACAGTATGTGTGTGCGCGCATGTGTGGCCTCCACACCATACTGCACTCCTGGTGCTGCTGGGCATGCTGACATGGCCACATCTCATGCCACCTCAGCACGTGCCATGGGGCACACATGCCCACCTGTCATTGGTTGTTGATGTTGATGATGTTATTGGTGGTGGTGGTGGTGCAGAATGGTCTGAGAGAGAGGGGTGATTCTGGATTTTTCCTTTCCATCCTCCCTTCATTCATCCATACAATACTTCATCCATCTGCCCCGTTGCCCTTGGCTTTATGTTTGCCCCTGTCCATGTCAAGAGCTTTACCTGTCCCTTTTTATCCTTCTGCTTCTTCTTCTACTTTTTTAATGTTTGATATGGTACCACTCATGTAATTAAATACCAAAAAAAAAAAAAAAAAAAAAAAAAAATTGAAGCAAGGGACTGGGTCAACAATTTTTCCTGAATTAACTGCTTTTAAGATATGGCCGAAAGTATAATTCATTATATATATATATATATTTATATCCCGTGATTTCTATGTTTTTTAATTTATCTCCTTTATTTTTATTATTTTATTCATTTAAAATACATATAAACGTAAACAACATCGATGCCCTTGAGCTGTTTATCATTTGGTAAAGTGGGAATTTTATGACCACAAATTTCAACTGCAACCTCTTTGGTGCCACCACTCATCATTCTTTAATAGATTAATGTCCGCTTGGATCTAGAGTTTACTTTTTGATATCACATTTCCACATACATAACATATATTTTTAGGTTGGAAGCTGAGAACATGTTTAATTTTGTACAATAGTTATAACACACTATACTATTTTGCAATTTAACGTTCTAAAGAAATACTTAACTTAAACCACATTCATCCTAGAGAGTTTGAGTAAACTTCATACCCATCACTTGTTTTCTGTGCACTGTCAATCAGAAAATTCATCTGCCTTGTTCTTATTCAAGCATTGGCAACTCAGTAGCATCAAAAATTTGAAGACCCAGCTTAGAAGTTGCATTGACCAAAAACCTTGATCCCTTTGATTTTGTTCTACTAAAAATGTAATGAAAAGAAATTGCTTCTTTTTGACAAACATGTTTTCAAAAAGAGGCAGTTACTAGCATTGACAAATAGGTTTATGGGGAGTTGTCAAATATGATAATGAAGCCCAGTATGAGGCTTGTCTTCAATCAGAACCCCCCTTTTTATTGAATGATTTACATCATTTTGACTTTGGGCATAATAGAGTGCATTCTCTTTTGGGTATGAATGTATCATAGAATGTTCTTCTTAATATTTGAAGCATTCAAGTTAAAAGCTTAGAAATTTATGTACTTCCAATTATCATCATTGTTGCCAAAGGTATAATACACCCATAGAGACCATTCTTTTCTTTTCTTTATAACTCAATTTTTAAAGAAGGCAAGAGAAAAGAAGAAAATATCTCTTATCATTCCTGAATTGATGAGAAAGTATTCATGAAATCATGAAGATTTTTGATGCTGCTATTTAATTAGGTTTGCACACATACATTGCACCAGGTGGCAGTCCAAAGAATCCCCTCTGAATTTTTATTGCAGCTGCAACAACCTCTATTACTATGTATTGTGGATAAAATAAAAAAACGTCCATTTTTCCAAATAGAATGGGCAGTGGAGCTGAGCCAGTTTTGGGTTGTGGGATAAAAGTTATTCAATCTTGTTGTAATATTAGGATCTATAAGGGTTGACTTTGGATAAGGTTGACTCTTTTTGAAAAAGTTTTCCATATGTAGATGGGATCAAAACGGTCAACCCTTTATCTCTTTCTATTTGTATATGTGGAATGCAGAATATTGGCTGGGTTGGATGATATTTCAATTTAGGTATATTCAAATAAGTACAAGAATGTGATTGACAGGAAGAGAAGAGTTGCTTTTTACGTACTTTTAGCAAGACCAAGGAAATATGGAACACACCCGAACACACACACACACACACACACAAAAAAAAAAAAAAAAAAATGCAATGGGTGACATACAGGCACATAGTTTGAATATGGCAACATCAAAAGTAATTCCAAAAAATATGGCGTGTGTATTGTTGCCGGGCGTGAGACACACCCTTGAGATAGCGACACAAGAAATCCTTAATAAGACAAAATATTTTATTGCAAAAGTATTATCATCTATGGTACTCATAAATTTAGTGATTTATTTTGTTAATGAAGATATCACCTTAGATCCTCATGTGAGCTCTAATTAAAACTTAAGCTGATAAAAGAGAAACAGAGTTCTGACAAATAGACGCCTTGGTTTTGTCATTCATTGACCTCTGCATTGATTGTCTGTAACTTAAAATCTCCTCTTATTTATTTGTTTATTTAATTGCACATCAAAAACGTAATCTCTTCGATTTAAAGAAAGCATTCATTTCCCAGGGGTGATATGCGCTCAGCGGTTCACTTGATTTTCAAGGATCATGGTGTAAAGTGGACCCAAATGTCAATTTTCAACTTTCAGCAATAAGCATCAAAAAGCGTCCAGAGACTCAAGAGGACATGAGAAAAATCCTCAAACATTCAAAGTAGTACAACCCACAGCAGACTTTGACAGGAACCAAAAAACCGAGCATGTCCAGGGCGACTCAACACCAGGTCTACAGCACAGTCAAACCCCACTTCTGCGTGTCAAACGCACCCACAGACACGCTCACAATCACACTAAACAAAGCCCATTTATATTACAAAAAATTGAACCAAGTGTTTTGGATCGTCAAAACTCTGACTAAGATACGCTTTTTACCCGGTATCAAAAATTGATGCTGAAATAGCAACATGACTAATCATACTAATTGTAGAAATATTATATGCTCAGAATCGACAAGACTGGACCCTACTGTGCACCGTATGCGGCTGTAGGATGAACTTGGTCACGTAGAAAATCATGGAACCAACTGGTGCGTTGAGGAAAATGCAGTGGTCCGGCGAAGCTTCAATCACGGTGGTGGTGGTACTGATAATTTTGTTTTATTGGGGTCTAGATGCATGACATTCTGCTGTAACCACTTGAGCCTGCTTAGATGAGACCCGGAATTTGAGACCGAAAAGAGTTAAAAACCCCCCGCTGATCAGCGCGTCATAGTTGATTCAATGGGGGTAGAGGATTCCTGGAGTACGTTGAGGATCAATGAGCATTGAATCGCAGCCGAAAGAGAGAGCCTACGGGGGAGTGCCCATCTAACTGGTTGTAGCCCAGTAGACTGTTGCAGATCGCGTGGGGATCTGGGCACAACAATTCCGTTCTGAGCGGGAGACTCTGGTTTGCTGCAGTGCACTGATCGTCATGTGGACGAGATGATCAAATAAAAATATGACAAGATAGGGGGGTTAGTGGAATGATGTGGAGCAAGGAAGCTGCGGCGTTGCATCCGATTGTGTACTCAAGTCAACCCTCGCGTCCTGAATTCCCTCATTTCCAGGGCTAGTTCTTCGTAAATGGTGAGGGATTCCATCTTCAAGCACTCCAGATGAATCCCCAGATAGCGTGCTACTTCTTCGGCGTGGTTGGGATCTCGTCTCCCGGTCAGCTCTCGTCTCCTGGCGACTTGAGTCGTGTAAGCCAAGAATTCAATCGTAAGTGGACCAGGCGTCGTCGTGCAGGTGGTATCTAGCGACTTGATCAGTCAATGTGCACACACATGCATTTTCGTCTTCCGCGCTCGTCAACATAGCCCCCCTGAACATCTGCCTTTAGTTCATTACCGGGCAGCCACCGTCTGAGAGTGGGTCCTCCCTCAGTGTCTCTTTCTCTCTGGTCTACACCTGTTCCGTTCAGATGCTTGAGAGAAGATAGTACCTTAGCTGTCCCTTCCTTTTAATTCCCTTTCTTCCAGGTGATACTTGTCAATTGGGCGTTTGCGCCGCGTTGAGGTTTGTGTTGAAAATAGCAGGTTGTTGCCATTGTTCTTGGTTGTTGGTTGGTGTTGCTTCTTCTCCTTCGTTCTAGATTCTTTTCTTTACTTTTCTCTTTTAGTTTGGGTTCGGAGCGGGGGGGGGGGGGGGGGGGGGAAATGATCCTTGCGCTTAAGGGTTAAGAGGATCGTTTCCAAGGCTGAGACACAGCTTGAGGTTTTATAAGCGGCATATCTTCATGAGCGGCGCAGCAGCAACAGCGGAAGCACATGAAATGAGATCTCTGGGATAACCATGCGGCCGCAACTAGAGTAACGACGCGGCGCGGTGAGCAGGTAGATCTTGATCTCCAATTCAACCCATAGCTACGATCTGCGGGGATTCTGAAGCTCTTAGACTCCACAAGGTCGTGTTCTTAAATTGCATGTGTAAAGAGTTGCCGTCTACCGGGTGGTCTCGTGTGAATGGTCCAGTTCCAAACCATCCCCGAGCGCAATCGTCGCACTGTTTTTCTCCCAGCCGGTGACCAGTGAGAAACTGGCCAACAGCTGATTGTTTAAACTCTATCTCCAAATCTATACACGGTGCAGTTCAGTCCAAGCCTGTTAGGACAGAATCATGCCGCACCCCGACCTTCAAATCAAAGTTACAGAGCTAGAAACAGTAACCTTAAAACATGTGAGCCAGACATTGAAACTGTTGCTTCCATGCTGATCTAGTGTGTTGCGCGTGTCATATGTTCAACAGATGTGCCTCTTACGAACTGCTACAGAAGCTTCATGAATCACACAGCAATTGGCCTTTAAATCGTATGGCTTAACTTTTGATAGCAACCCTTCTACAAGAGTGGAGTGCTTAATGAAAGTACGCCAATAAACGTAGTTCCTGCGACGTCTTCCCAGCGAACATGGGGGCGTTGGAGATATTAGATTACAACAACACTTTAGGAAAGAGAGACAGGGACTATGAAGTGAAGGAAGCGGCATGCATGGGAATACAAAACGCTAGGCAGCTGCTCCAGTCCCTGACGCAGGTGCGATCTCCAGTGGTGGACGAAGAATGCGATGTCATGGCTGGCGCTGCCATATCCAAGTTTCAGAAGGTGGTGTCACTACTGAGTCGCACTGGTCATGCACGGTTTCGTAGGAGAACGCGCAACGCTGCTGTTGCCGGTTACGCAGGCGTCTTCTTAGAGAGCTCCAACTTCTTCAGAGAAAATTCCCAGGAGACGTCGAGGGACAGAATCGTCTCGTCGGGCCATGCTAGCCCATCTCAGTTCACGCCGACGTCCTCGTCCAAGCCTCCTCAGTCACCTGAATTGCAGGCGATCAAATATAAGGTATAATATCATAACCCTTCAAAGTTCTCTTTAAAGCAACCCAAAGCTCGAAATCCGTCACTTCAATTGGTTATTTCAAATGTAATTTTTACTGTATCTGACCGCGTTAGGGTGATTCTCAATTTTTCAGGTGTTTCCTCAAAGCTCTCGTTCCGCTGATGCGACGCCTGCCTCCAGTGACCCTGCTTCAGGAGTCCATCATCCAAAGCCACTTCAGATCCTTCACAGCTCCATGATGCAGCAAAGCATTCCAGAACATATACTGCGTCCAGTGGCTAGTGCTGCGTATCGGCCAACTGCCCTTCCCCCGAATCCGTTCAACAAACAGGAGGTGGGCAGCAAGGAGGGGGTGAGCGGCCACAGTCCGGACAGTTCGTTGAGCTCAGGACCTCCGCAATCAACTACAACGGCGTCGTTCCCAACCATGAGTGTGCAGGATGCGAGGATAACGAGCCTGCAGAATATGAAAACAGCCGAGCAACCTTCGGCGTTGCCCCCTCGCCCGCAGCCACCAACTCCCAAGAAAAAGTGCTCCGGGAAATCCGATGAGAACGGTGCAACTTGCGCAATCCTTGGCCGCTGCCATTGTTCAAAACGCAGGTATTTGGTCCACATTCTCTGACCTGAAAACACAACATCGTAATTTACTGCGTCGTAGCTGGACCTAGAAAAGTGAAAGAGGCAATTCTGAAATTGAATTTGGTTGACAGGAAATTGCGGTTGAAGAGGACAATCACGGTTCGAGCAATCAGCAGCAAGTTGGCTGATATACCTTCGGATGAGTATTCATGGCGTAAGTATGGCCAGAAGCCTATCAAAGGATCACCACATCCGAGGTACAGATGTGATCTTTGCTTGAACCCCATGTGTATGCTGAATGTCGGTCCCTGACTGCATGTATTGTTTCATGGCTTAGGAACTGGTGTATTGAGACTTTGCTTATGCAGACCATAGTTCTAAATTTGGGGACGTTTCTGGATGTGCAGAGGATACTACAAGTGCAGCAGCATACGAGGCTGTCCAGCGAGAAAACACGTAGAGCGGTCAATGGAAGACTCATCTATGTTGATTGTGACATACGAAGGCGATCATAACCATCCGCAATCGTCATCTGCTAATGGCGGATTAACAGTGCAGTCGCAATAGACAACACGCACGTACATTGCCTTCGCATTATCGCCTAGTAATGAGGAAAGCACAAACTCCTCTCAATGGCTTACGCGTGAGGATGTCTGCAAGCATTTCAAGTTTTTGCCCAGTTTGTGCTCCATGTTTTTTTGTTAGGACATTACCTATGGCACAATGCCCACCGTCCGACGAAGCCCGTGACTTATGTTCTGTAGCAATGTTCTCATGCGTGATTGGCTAGAGAAGTGTGCTCGACGAGTCAGGAACATTAACCTCCTAGGTGTGCCCCCAAAGTTGGAAGCGTTCTGCTTATCAGGGATCAAGAGGTACGCACAGACGAAGATATCTACAGGTGATGCCTTTTAATTCTTCGGTGCTCAATGGCTCCACCTCTGGAGCGGAGAGAGAGAAGAATGAATATGAATGCAAGTATCCTTCGCGATGCGCACTCAACTATCGGATAAGCAATGCAATCCACAATGGCTTCCCATGGAATCAGGAGATTGTGATATTTACCAAAGCCCTAAATTGTTACTACCAAGTATTGTCCCTCCTGGATGCCATTAGTTCCTTCCAATGTATGCCTGAGCAGCCCTGTAATTTGGGATGAAAATCCTAAAGTCAGTAATTGCCGGGTTGGCATTCTGCAGTTTTCGGGATTGTGCTGCACACGTCCCTGAAGGTCCCCTTGCATGTGCCTAATAATCGTCAAAGCAGCAAATAGCACCCTTGTGCTAGAGACGCAAGAGTAATGATTCTTAGTGATAACAAACCATCAAATGCGGATGGTCATGCTTCATATTCGAATATGAAGTGGGAGGCAAAAATAGACTCCAGCTTTATCCATCGCATCTGCTGCGGCGCTCACAGTTCTCTCGTTTGTTGAAAATCTCTTCTGAGTGAGGCCCTTGGAGCAGTGACCACTAGTCTTCTCCGAGATTCATGCCTAAACTGGATACCAATCCTCAATCCAGACAGCAGAGATTAGAGAATGTTATCAGGTTTACGGGTCAGAACCTCCCTTCAAGACTTTTAGAAGTAATCAGTTCGCCTCTCACGCACCTTGAAGTCTGTAGGGTATCGCTCAGCTAAGCGCGCACATGCAAAGAGTCTGCGATTCTCGCGTCGAAACCTATTCACATGTCTACTGATGCCTTCACCCATCTAATTCACAGCATTCATCTCTTTCTTGCGGAGCCTCTTCTTAACAATTTCAGCTCTCTTACTCTCATGACTAGCACCCTAAGCACAAACGACCAACTGAGTGTTTTTCCAGCCTTTGCGTCTGATTCTCTGCGTGCCCAGCACCGTGCGAGAATGTCCCGCCGCGTGGAGACGAGCGGATGAGACCGTTGCTCATTCCTCCATAGCTGTTGTTGAATCCTCTTGATTAGTGTTTGGCTTGCCGTCCAATGGAGAATCGCCTCGCAGAGCCTTGCAAAGAAAACTACAGATATTTCTTGCGTCGTTCAATGAGTTTCTCTATCAATGGCTCCAGCATCCCGTTCTGAATAAAACACGAAAAAACTAATGCCATGAGGCAAGAATCGAACCCACCATGTTCTCCTTATCGTCAACCTTCTGCAATGCACCAACCAAGTTTTATGTGAGGATGTGTGATTTGGGGGTTATCTTCGGCAGAACTAACAGTATATGTACGCGAGGAAACTTGTGTGTACGTTTTATTTTTTATTTTTTTAAATGTTTCTTTGCAAAATTTTGGATGCCAGTGGTCACAGGATTGGATGCCTATGTTAAGAGGAGAATACAGCAGGGGCTTGTGGGTCAAAAGGACCCGGAAAATGATGGCTGATTCACTGCACATTCACTTCCAGACCAGGAGTTCATCTAAATTGTCCAAATACCACGTCGTGTATGTAATTCCTAAAGAGGTATTAATCTAATCTCTTGTCCCGACTGAATCAGTTCATATTCATCTCAGATCAAGTACTGGCAGAAACAATATCTAAATGCTGTTAGTTGGTTGAATGTGATTGTGTTATCTGTGACATTCTCACGAAATGGAGCACCGCTCTCCATACATGCATGAAGTGAAATAACAAAGAATGTCTTCTCTACACACTTGAGCTTCAACTCATGGGGTGCACCTGACTAAGACTTTCCGATTCGAATCTGAACACCTTTCTCACATGAACATTTCGTCACTGTCATTGACATTCAATAGCATAATGCAATTGACAACTGCAGGGGAGAAGGCACAAAAATGGTTCCGGGGAGATAATATTCCAACCTAGGCCATGTCCACTTCAGACCTTCACTTTCCTGTTGAACACGATCTGTTAATTTATTACAAAGTATGTATATATATATATATATATATATATATATTTCTCTTAAATTAGATTATGAAATATATTAACATGGCCATAGAGAGAGAGTCTCATTGACAACCATCATCACCACTACCATCGTCAAATGGCCATCAGTTCGTAAATTTCCTCATTCTTCCCTACATTCTTTGTTTCGGTTTTTGATGTGTGAAAAATTTGTACACCACCATTGAGCCACATGAAGTTTTAATTAAGCTTTCGGTTCTGTTGTTGAGGTCAAGTACAACCCATTAGACAGAAGTCTGCACATGAGCGAGACGACAGTACCCAAGATTATCAGGCATTTAACGTCATTAAGTTAGTACCACATAATCTTATCTTGTGACTCCCGTCTCATCAGTGGCACCCTGCAGTGATTAACCCACTTGAACCCAGTGAAACTGATGAATCACTCCATTCTCTGTCTCTCTCCCCCTTCTCTATGTGTCTCGCCCTTTGTGCCAGTTGGTTACTCATTAATCCTTTGAGTCTGTTGCCATAATTGAACTCACTGCCTCGTTGACAGGATGTGGCTGAGAGAGAGTACCATTTTCGCCCCGCAGCCACGAACTTCTGGAACACACCCCCATTGAAACTCAATCTGAGCAGCTGCTGCAATTCCTCTCAGAATCTGGAAGACTCAGTGAGGCTGTGAAATTACAAACAAGACACCATTCCATTTTCAATTCCAATTCTGCAGGTGTATGCGCACTCAGCACAGTTGAAAAAGGACAAGGGAAGCACTTTTCTAGAGTGAAGAAATTAACTTGTGAGATCTTTCTTGTTTTGCTTTTAAGGAGATTTGGAAATCTTGTGCTTAGTTTGCTTGATTCCCCAGGGTGTATGAGGAGATGCTTTGTACCACATCGACTCATGGATTTGTGATGTGATTGAATAGAATATTTTTTTTTATTAGTAGTAGTAGTTGTAGTAGGTGAGGTTTATTGAGTTATGATTATTTTACTCTGTTACTTGTGCTGGTTTGTCATACAAATGTAAATGTAGTAGGCAATGTATGTATGAATACTGTTTTTGAGGATTGGAAACATGTGAGGTAAATGTTGTTTTCACTGCACACCCTGCAATTTTTTCTTCTTCATTTTTTTCCATGATTTTTTGCTTTTGATTTGTGGGTCGTTGGGTTTGATGTGTGATCATTTGTGGTGGTAATAGAAATTATATTCAAGGTGAAAAATGGAACAGCCTTGCATACAATTTGATTAGTCAAATAAGCTTTTTTTCCCTAATAATTCTTTTTTGTTTGAATGATAAGGGTAGTTTGTTTTTATTATGGCCTTTTTCTCTCTCTTTTTTTGTATTTTGTTACAATCAACCCATCAAACATGAAGATGCAAATATATTTATATATATATATATATATATATATATTTGGAACAAACTATGTATAAATTATATTTAATATTCATGTCTGGGCCAAATCTTTACCACTTTATCTTACAAACTTGTTCAAGCAATTGTTGGACAAAGTAACTTGTAAGACAGATGGAAGAAAAAGAAAAAGAAAAGGATATTATTATTATTACCATTATTTGAGTTTCTTGAAATTTACAAATTTTTCTACATGAATCAAAAAACCATCTTGTATTTATCTTATAATTGGAATCTCTTCAAGTCTTTGAATATGTTAATATTTATGTGATTAAACATGTATGTCTCTGTGTGTATAAGTGTGTGTATGGAATTAATTTATTTACGCAACAGAGAAGATGCCATTCCTCCTCAAGAGAAACAGAGCTAACTGGTATGCACAGTACCAGGAATCCAAATAACTTCACAACCTGGTTCAACCTTGAATGCAAAAAAAAAATCACACCCCACCAAAAAAAGATTTATTTTTGATATTTGATATTGTTCCCTTGGAATCCTATTGCAAAGAATATGGGGGGAGGGGGGCTTGAGTGTGAGAGTGCAAAGCTGAGAGTGGGGGGCAATGAGAGCACCTTGTGCTACATAGAATGCAGCAGAAGGGGCCACTGGAACAGGAACAGTTGAGTGTGAGTGTGAGTGTGAGAGTGAGAGTGGGTGAGAGACAATCAATCAAACCATCAATCTATGAGAGAGAATTAGAATGGGTGAGAACACATTCATGGGATGGATGTGAAGGGAGGGCTATGAGTTCACTGCAACATCCATCCACACTGATATTTTTAGGTCCATTGATTAGATGAGAAGAGAAGACCAGGTCAATTCTACAGGAGGAGGAATTAATCGAATAGGGCTTGGGGGGTGAAGAAATCACACAGTGTATGTATGTTCCTGCTTTGGGGGCCCATCAGATGATGTTGGTTGTTTGGGGAACACACTCACACACATACACACACTAGGGCAACAAATGGCACAGTTCCAGAGGAAACTACATCATAAATAAATAAACAAACTGTAACAGTAAAGGAAATTTAGTATAGAAAGCGAAAAGAATACATCTTGGGTTGGAATAGCCCCTCATAAAGGTTTTAATAGGTCTGGGGTCGGGTTGGGCTTGGTTTGGGTGGAGGAGGACGGTTGCTTCATGGGAGGGGAAGACGTATGTATCATTCATTCCTTTGAGGATGAACGGAGGATGAATTTGTGAGGTTTGGACGGATGACAACCAAATAATGTATACAGAGTTAACTTGTACATTGGATTTACAATATATACAAAATAAGAGGTTTTAATAATGATTAAATCTTTAATGAAGTACCATCTCTATGTGCTGTAAAATACTAGGATTTTTCATTTTTACAAGATGTAACACATTTTTTTATGTGCAATTTGTTTGTGTGTTATGTATTTTTATGCAGAAAAGGGTAACATGTTGTCTTCAGAAGAAATTGACTCAAGCTACTAAATCAAACTTATCTTTACTTTATTCATTTATTTTTTTAAAGTGGATGAACTACTAAATCTGACTTGTGAGAAATAAAGTGAAATCAAATGTGAATAACTCAATGACCAAACAATAAGTTCAATTACAATTCATGCTATATTTCCTTTTCGTATGTGTAACCTTTCTAGAAAAAGTATAACTATTTTTAGTTACCTTTAAGTTTTTTATATCATTCATCAATGTTTAAAAACCATCAAAGTGATTATTAATTAAAATAAGTTTAACCTTATGCAACTCCATGACAGCCCTTGAAAGTTTCTATATAAAAGTATATGTATATATAATTGAGCTTCTTTCATGTGTTTTAATAATAATAATAATAATAATCATAAGTGAAAGGAAAAGAAAAAAGAAAATGCCCACACGCCTGCAATTCCATTGAACTTTTAACATTTCCTCTTTGAACTATTTGAATGCATTCCAATAGCATTACAAAATTACAATCTTTTTGTACCAAAGCCAGAGTTCAAATATGATGGAGGTTATTTAATCAAACTGGACGCAAGAGTACCACAATGCAAACTCATAATATGACAACAACTTAAAAGTCTAATGTAGTTAAGCTTTTCTCAACAGTATTGTCTAGACGTTCTTACTTCTGCCTTCTACAGTGTTAGGATGCAAGTTTCTTGCTGCTTGGTACTCATTTACATTAATCAGAACATTGAGTATACCCCAAAAGAAATTTTACCAAGGGAAGAAGCAAACATATATCTTATAACTATTAAAATTAAGATATAACTTGCATAATTAGACTTAAGATTAAAAAAATTATTTGATCTATTTTTTGGCATTTTCTTGTTTTATATTATTTCAAAAGCCCAAGCCTTGCATAAGAGTTCTATTTACCAAGCATCTGTTAATGACATGAATCAAAAAAGAATTTTGAAAAGCTATTATAAGTATGTGTCATTATAAAGGTAAAAGCAAAGAATCAATTATCAAAAGGTCATTGAATTGTTTACTCCGAATTGTATTGAAAATTTGTATTAATTTTTTTAACCTCAGCCATTTCTTTTTTTTAATTCAAAAATCAATTTACTCTCTACAACCAAAAAAAAAAAAAAAAAAAAAAAAAAACTTGGCACATTTATGCTAGTCACAGAATTACAAGCCATGTTTGGAATTTGTTTTACAGTTATTGATGGGTAAAAAGTCAAAAGGTGTCAAGATGGGCTTCCACAACTTCAACAACTTATTTTTAATTTTTTAATTTTTTTATATATAAATGTTCTCCCAAGACGGACTTCCACAGAGGCTCATTTAGGGCAGCAGTTTTCACCAGCTGCTTGGGTAATTAACTGCCCCCATAATCTTAATTCCTTAATCTCAATCCGTAATCCTTAGATTATAACCAATTATGTGTATATATGTAAAATTTCTCCTGCCCAAGGTCATTGTGAATGGAGGTTCCTACAAGAAGACATTCCACGGGAGGCAATCACAAGAATGTCCTGTCAAACCGCCTTACGAGAGTGTGTACCCCAATTTCATTAACTTGTTTTTTTTTTTCTTTGGGTAATATCTGTCGGTCAAACCCACTAGGGCCGTATATTAATGAGGTAAACACCAGTTATAGCTAAAGCTCAGAATATTAGATGCTTCTCAGATATGCATTGGCTTTGCTGTTGAGCGTTCATTCGTCCCAGAGATGAGATTAGAGAAGAGAGTAGCCATCAGTTAATGGAGCCCAACATGGCACACAATCTTTAGGCACCTTACTTCCTTCCTTCCTTCCTTCATTCAGTCTAGACTGGACTGGACTGGACTTGTCTGGACTGGTCTGGACTGCCCATGGAGTGACTGACTATTGTTTGTTCGACGTTTGACCTCCCAACTTTCTAAACTTGCTTGTCGTAGAACTCTCATCACTGAAGAAAGTAAGGTAGAAAGAAGGAAAGAAAGAAAATTTAGGGATGAAATTGTAACTGTATACATTCTCCCCATGGTGTATGAAAGCTAATCCTATCGCTCTTGTACATTCTATTTTACTACAAACGTAGCAGGACACGTTTACAGAAGTTTATCACCACAGGTCGTTTTCTATCTGTCACGAAGGATTTTGAACACAAGAACAAACAAACAGACATGATTGTTACTCCAAGTTGTATTTTATATTATTATTTATTATTAGATATTCACCGTGGTTTGGGAATTGCTTCATGACACAAGGAGCTTCATCCGAACCTGATGTGAGTGTGTGAGTGCATTGTGGGGGAGAAGAAGGGGAGGAGTGACGGTGAGTGCGATGTTTCGCCGATTCATCGTGGGCTCCGGGAATCATAAAAGGCGAGCCCCGGTAGAAGGAGAAGCACCATCATTCACGTCCACTTCCAGACGTGTACAAAGACATCCGCGACGACGACACAAGACACGCAACGCCCGATACGTACAAATCTGCGTCGATAGACGCTGACGACGTTCTTTCTCCGATGCATCGCACCCAACTCACTCCACTGGGCACCGATCATCAATGAGATCCTCGTACGCACCCACGCGCTGCGGGTCCGAGTTTGTTTTTTTATTTTTTTATTTTAGTTTTTTAGTTTTTTTTTTAGTTTTTTTTTAGTTTTTTTTTGTTTCGCTTTGTTTTGGGTACAGGACCGTCTTCGATGGTTTGGAGGCTGGTTGATTGACGATTCTCATGGCCGCCCCAACTTCAGCATCAGTGGCCTCTCTGTAGCAAGCTTGCCCTGAAGGTTTGAATTCTGACATCAGTGTAGTGGCAGCTCAGAACGAAGAGGCGGAGAGCTTCAATGGGAAGAGATTGAGAGTTTGACGCGAGCGAGAGAGAAGGAGCTGGGGAGGTTGTGAGGGAGTCGATGGAGGTTGTGGGAGTGGGCCTAGATTTGAGCGATTGTAGGAGGATTTGAGGGCCAGGGAGTGGGATTGCCAGTGGAGAGCGGGATAATGACGGATTTGGTATGGCGCTACTTGAAGAGCGTTGAATCGATGTGCTGAGGGGGACGAAGTGTGGGCGAGGGCAAGATTGGATTGGTCATGGATGTGTCGGGAGAGGAGGATCACTCAATGTGCTTAACTAGGAGCTTGAGTCCTGGGTTTTTGAGCGGTGAGTACTGGCTTTCTGAGTTGGTGCTTTGATGTTGTAGTATGAGCGGCTGTGCCGTGAGCCCTGTGGTGTGGTGTGGTGGGGTGGATGATATGGAGTGTGAGGAAAGGAGGAGTGGCAAGTGCAATCTCTACACTACCAGGATGTGTAGTGGTCTGTACATGCTGCTTACCATGCTATGGGCTCTCCCTCTTCTTGCAGTTTGTAGATACATGAAGTGTGGGAGTGATCCTGAATTCGCTTCAGTCGGCGGGATTGCCAGGTGAGAGTAGAGATGGACCCAAAGAGGTTCTTGCGGGGGTCTGACGTGAAGTCGCGGGTTAGAGACAGTCTTCTTCGAGTAGCTGACTGTCATGAGTCATTCTGCTGGAAGTTTTTGGTTAATCTTAACAGCTGGTGTCAGCGCCCACTGTTGCTTGGAGCTTGAAGGCTTGGGAAAACAATGGCGTGTACAGCAGATCAGAAAATGTCTGGAGTGTAGTAGATGGACTTCTTTGGAGATACTTGAACTTTAGAGTAAAGCTGTTAGTGATCACAAAGTTCGCCACTCCCTCCAGGTTGTGCGCGTACTTCTTCTTCACCGTTCCCTCCCTCTCCGCGTTTGGAAGTTGATCTTCGTTCTTTCACATTATTCTGGAAATAGCATTGAAGAGGTCATTTAATCATTGCCGTGTATCTGCCGTTGGGTACACTACCTCGAGACCTCTACCTGATTTCATTGCTCATCCGTTGTTCCATTCTCTGGGTGCCATTCGGCCAGCTATACGTTTAGAAAGATGAGTGGCAAAGCACAGATGCCATAAACTTTTTTTCTTTTCTTTTCTTTTTTTTTTTTTTTTTTTTTTTTCCACCGAGGCTCTAGGTTATTCACCTATTCGCTTTTGTCCCCTTGCTTTTTCATTGGAGGACTCGTCTACGGGCATGACATGCCATGAGACTGCGAGCGGTGTTTTGCACGCCACTTCGAATCCCTTATCGTAGTCGGTAGGAGTTATGGCATTCCACATTCTACTTGTTTGTCAGCTGACATATATTCGGGAATCATATGCGGTCAATTTTCATCTATTTTAACCCAGCTCCGATGCTCAGAAAGTAGAAGCTGATGGCCTAGATCCTTTTTCTGCCGACATTTTCCACCGTAGACGTCTAAACTTAAGCTTTGTATGCTGGGTCTTACACGCAAGTCTCATTACTTCTCGCCGTTAAGAATCGTTTGGTAACAAGGAACCTTCGACCGCCACAATTTCACGACAAGGCAGTTGTGAACCTCTTTGACTCACGCCTGCTCTGCACGAATTTACAGATTAGCCGATCGACAGTGCACTTCCTTTAAGCAATTCCTTAACTGTGTGCATGCGTTTCTCGCGAGTCCCATTATAGCCATATTTTCGCTTGTCAGTCAACTGAAACACAACTTGGGACGTAGCATACAGAAGATTGGAAGCTTATAAGAATTGTCCGACTGGAGGATCTGAGTAGTACACAATGAGATATAGAGTATGATTAGACCAGCAAGTTTGTACAGAGTTCAGGAATTGTATAGTTTCATGGTTGTAGTCGTCAAAGCAAAGGCACATTTTTGCTTTGCTGGTAGGCGATTTGTTGTATCCACACATCTAGCTATTTCAGGCTGGGGACATGAATGGTTTTATGTCAACTGTGCATACTGTCCTGTGATCTAGAGCAACCTTATTGCAGTCATGGCTAGACTGAGGATAGAGTTGTGCTTTTGAACAGCACGAATTGTAGAATGCTGGAGTGGTATGAGAGCAGTGGGTTCGAATCTCGTATTTGAGTGGAGGAAATCGGGACTATTACTAGGATGCAGAGCTAGATCGATGAGAAGTGCAAAGTATGCTATCCATTTTTACACCTGGATGTTGACAATGAACGATGGCGTGTTAGATTGCAGCAGATTCGCAAAATGGAGATGGAAGTATGGCTGGAGGCGTTGGAACGTAGGCTACAGGTTGGTACAGGAATCGATTTCTGTTGAAGGTGTAGTAGTGAGGGAGTTCAAGGCTTGACCGCGCGATCAGTTTTGAAACCTTTTTAAGATCATTTGGGTGGTTCTGCTTTCCCGCAAGATTGTTCATGTATCTTTGCAACGAAAGGCTGCCCAGTGTGGGGCCCAGTGTAGGTTCAATGGCTCAACCTGCTGAGAAAGGTACGTTCTTTAGACTCAATAGATATACCTGTGACTTATTCAATCAGCCGAAAAGCCCATGTGGTTTTCACTGCCTAGTTCGAGTTTACCTGAGAGTATTCGATGAGATAATTACACTTTTCGAAGCAGGTCAATCACTATGATGTATTTCCTACAAACAAGTGAAGCGTGATGGATAATCTATCTTACTCCAGGTCATCTTGTTTTGCAGTGGAGAAGAGGAGCCTCAACTCGGAGCTGTGGCATGCATGTGCCGGCCCCTTAGTATTATTGCCTCCTGTCGGTAGCCGGGTGGTTTACTTTCCACAGGGTCACACAGAACAGGTAATGAATTGTGATTGCAGTCGTGCAAGTGCACGTTAAGTGCAAATTTGCTGGCACAATGTGGATGCATGGCTAATGCGTGTTGGTATACCGTATTCAGTCGTTAGTTTCATTTTGGCAGGTAGCAGCATCAATGCAGAAGGAGGTTGATGCTCATATTCCTAATTATCCCAACCTTCCATCACGGCTAGTCTGCCTGCTTGACAATGTCACGCTTCATGTACGTACCCTCAAGTCTTCTATTTTGCACTTCATTTGTATGCTTTCGCGATTTACATGTCTGAGCCACGTATGAGGGGCAATATATACTCAGCCGATACCCCATCTATGATCACTACACTACATATGTAGAATTTGGGATTTTTTGGTAAAATTCAGTTTTGCAATTCAAGCGTGAACCTCCACTTCATTTTTCCAGTTCGAAACTGCCTTTGTGAGTTCCTGATCATTGTTGAGTGTCTCTTCTGGTGGCATCAGGCTGATATTGAGACGGATGAAGTGTATGCTCAGATGACGTTGATACCCGTACCTCCTACTGTGAGTACCTAGCAACTCCTACTTTAACGTGAATCTTAGTGAAGTATGATGAGTGGTTATTGCTATATGCAAACCCATGAAAGTACTTGTGATGGCAGAACGGACGAATGGATGATCTGCTTGAAGGTTACTGAATCTCATAGACTTGTATACATGCAATCAATCAAAATTTTCAACTTTGTCGTGCACTTGCTATTCTACCTCCTTTGCAGAATGAGAAAGACGCTCATATGTCTCCTGATATTGAAATGCGAAGTAGACAGCCAACAGAATATTTCTGCAAGACCTTGACGGCTAGTGATACTAGCACACATGGTGGCTTCTCTATTCCACGAAGAGCTGCTGAGAAAGTTTTCCCTCCCCTGGTACATCAGAACTTGTACACTTTTATGCGTCTCATCATGTCTTCTCGCGACCACCTATCGTTGTCATCTGTCTAGTGAGTACTTGATTAGTTTCTACTATTACCTGGAAGTTAATACTTACACAAAAAAATCTGTACAGGACTACGCTCAGATCCCACCAGCTCAAGAACTAAAAGCTCGGGACCTACATGATCAGGAATGGCACTTTCGACACATATATCGTGGTATAGAGAAATTTGAATTTCGAAACTTGTTCCCAGCGAACTTCCTATTATGCATAGGCTATTTGCATTTTCTGGTGGGAAGGATTTAGAACTTTTAGGTTATGTTTAGATGTAAGGTTGTGTGGTTGATTCGTTTTAAATTCTGGATTTGCTTGTGTGGATGAAGCTTAATGAAAATGGATGCTGGGATTCATTTTATTTTCGGTATGTCAACCGCAGGTCAACCACGAAGACACCTTCTAACAACAGGCTGGAGTGTCTTTGTTAGCGCTAAAAGGCTTCAAGCTGGTGATGCAGTTTTGTTCACTAGGTATGCAATGAGAACGGTCTGTCATTCAATGTAGTTCATTGACAATTTTCCAGGCTGAGTTCTTCCGTGCAAACCTGACTGTACCTAGGCATTCGAACTTGGAAAGCAATAAAAACCCACATCAACCACGTGACCGTTCATGTGCATGTTTTTGAGATTTCTATTTAATCATGATGTTGTATACAGGGATAATAAAGGCCAATTGCAGCTTGGAATTCGTCGACAAAACAGGCAACAAAGGGTGATGCCCTCGTCAGTGTTGTCAAGTGACAGCATGCACATTGGAGTACTAGCAGCTGCAAATTATGCAGCTGCTACAAGTAGCCGTTTCACCATATTCTATAATCCGAGGCACTTTCCTTATTGTCAAATTCTCTCTACTGCAAATGCGTGTTTGAAAGAAAACAAATATATATATATATATATATATATATATATACATATATATAATCTTGAGAAATAACGAGGATTGGAGTGACAAAAATCTGTTATCTTTGTAGAATCATCAAGGTCAACCTTCCCGAGGGATTTTTTTTATCTCCATTCAACTTAATTGTTTATCTCGCCTCGTGGATTTTTCGATCTTCGACTTATTCAAACTATTGTTTTGCAAATATGTAAATGCAGGCAAAGTCCGTCAGAGTTTGTCATTCCTGTTGCCAAATACCAGAAGGCTATTTGCCATCTCCAGGTCTCAGTTGGGATGCGGTTTCGGATGGTTTTCGAAACCGAGGAATCCAGTGTTCGAAGGTGTAACTGGTCTATTTAACTTGCTAGTCGTCGCTTGTCGTTTTATATGCTTCATCCTGCCTAAGCTTGTGTGTTTTGCTTGTTAGATTAACTCGATTATCATTCCTCTTGCTTACTACGCTTTGTGCTGTAGATATATGGGAACAATCACTGGAATGGGAGATTTAGATCCAATTCGTTGGCCCAACTCCCACTGGCGTTCTTTGAAGGTTTGGACTTCTTGTGGCTTCGTGGTTGTGGTTTATTTGAGATACTCTTAAAGTGTGTCATCGTCCTGCGAGCTGGTCACATTGCGCATTGTCTTCCCGGTCATTTATATTCCTTTGTGAAAGTTTTCACCATCTGTAGTAATTGTATTTAAATTACATGCATGGCGATACTGATTTTGGTGTGCATTTATAAAATTACATATTGTTAATATAATATTGTGCAGGTTGGTTGGGATGAATCAACCGCAGGTGAGAGAAAAAAACGAGTTTCACTGTGGGATATAGAACCGTTGACATTTCCGTATGTTCTGTGTCCCCAACCCCTTGCTTTTCGAGCGAAGCGTCCACGAGGAGGAAGAGGTGAAGGATTTGGTCTGCCTTGTCTATAAGGCACAATCTAATCACCTTCTAGCATGTATTTGTGGGTCCTTGCTAATTGTTCTGGCGATGTTGCCAGCCACTGACATACAGGATTTTATTATTTTGTGACAGATGAGGAGACAGACTCCATGCTGAAGAAGTCATCATTTTGGTCAGGAGAGAACAGCACTGATGCACTCGGAAGATTAACTTTTCGAACTCCTTCTCTGGATTCGTGGATGCGGCCCAAGCAACCTGGGTTACCAATGCAGGAAAACGAGCATTACCGAGCGCTTGAAGCGGCAGCTCTGGAAGAGATCCGCACCACGAGCACTGCAAAAAACCCAATGTCTCGTGTACAGTCTTCTATCCCCTCTTCACAAATGCAATTCCAGCCGCCACACGTCTTGAGGCAATCGAGTCAGCATGGTGAGCTACACATGCCCGAGGCTTCTGGGCCATTGCTTCAACTTTCATCTAGTCGTCCTCAGTCTCCATTTGAGGTAGGAATCAATATGCCTCAATGCTCGGGGTACAGTGAAGGGAAAATTCACATGGCTTCATCACTTTCTGCCTCTGAGTCATTTCCTCTTCATTCCATGTTGGGCCGAACTCACCTCGGGTGTGACACTGTACAAGTTACGCATGTGATACGGCCAGGTAAAAGTGCCCAGCAAAATCTATCTGGAGCCGCTATTCATGGAAGCAGTGCAGTTGTGCGTGACCCTCAGGTATCTAATTGTAATTATGGTTGTATTTTGCTTGCTTGGTATTCCTAGCCTTAGGGAAGAGGTCTCGAAAAGGTCTACTGTGTGCAAAATTTTCCCGTGTTTACGAAAAGAATGTGCCTATGTGTGACAGGTATCTCCATCTTGGTATCCACCTAATCGAGATCTGAATCAATATGACGTGTCTGTTCGTATGAACCAGTTGGATACTTCACCAACCTCGAGAAATCCTGGCTCTTTTACTTTCCCACAACAGGGTGAGGGAATCGGCCAATCTAACCTGGCAGCGCTGCCAGCACCTACCTCATCTTTCATGTACAGGGAAAGTGGCCAGGCGCAAGATTTAGTGCAGTCAGACCGTCGTCTTCTATTCGGGGTCTCAATTGAGCAGCAGCCACTTGGGGACTCACATTCTGTTACATCCCGTCACCCTCAAACATTTGTCAAGAACAAGGATGCTCAGAGTCGTTTCCCAGGCAACATCATGCTTCAAGGATCCTACTGCCCTTCTACTACTGCAGACATTCCTACTGTGGGTGGCGTGGTTCTTGACAAAATTGGTGTATTTCAGAGATGTGCACCATGGTCAATCATGTCACCTGCTCCTATGCGGACGTTTACGAAGGTGAGGTTATCTAGAGAAGATTTCTGCATTATCTGCATGATATAAACAAGGTATAGCTCGAGATGCCCGGGTAATTATCTCTTTCAGGCAGTTAGATTGTGTTCCTTGAAATCGAACATGATTCTTCTGAATTATGTCTTTTAACATTGTCTTGGGCTGTTGCAATGCAATTAATATATTCACTACATGTGAATGACATGTACTAAACGATGCATTTTGATGCTTGTTTGCCACCCAGGTCCATAAGCTTGGAAGTGTAGGCAGGTCAATAGACGTTCAGAAGTTCCAGAACTATTCAGAGCTTCGAGCCGAGCTGGCTCGGCTATTTAATCTGGAGGGCTTGTTGGAAGATCCTCAAACATCAGGCTGGCAACTTGTGTTTGTAGATAATGAAAATGACATCCTTCTTGTTGGAGACGATCTGTGGGAGTGAGCACACGAGCTTCACCTACTTGCTGTCCTTCGACAAATCTAACACCATTCTGTAGCTTATATAGGAAGATTGAAAGAATCCTCCTTGCAATCACGAATTAAATTGTTCACATGCTCTGGTTCTTTGCAGGGAATTTGTGAGTTGCGTGCGATCGATCAAGATTCTGTCACCAAATGAAATATTGCGGATGAGTCGGGAACAACTTGAGATTTTGAACCCTGTCCCGATGCAGCTGCGCCCGACGTGCAGCAATTCTGAGGACGCCCGCACTCAACTGTCTCCTGCCAACGCCTCGACTATGTCCTTAGAGCATGGACACTCTGGTGCCGGATGAAAAGGGACGAGGTCTCGTAACCCCAGGAGAAATAAATCTGGCACACACCAGTTCTGCATGGATTGAATGAGCCCAAGGTTCTTATGCTTCAAGACGTCAGCTCACAGTTTGAGAGCACGCATCTCATGGCGGCACCGAAGATGAACAACAGCTGCAGTCTCAGAGCACTACGATGAGCTTGCTAGAGTTATGTTCTTTGGGGCTCGTTGTAATGTATCCCGTTACGAGACAGTTACAAGAGCAGAGTAACTCAACAAAACTGTGAAGGGATTAATAGTCATGTGACCTGCAGCTGAAAAGTGCGATTTTAACCGGCGACCTGAGCAATCATTCGGTTGATGACATATAACATATCCGAAAAATCGATAGAGATTGAGGAGCTTCTCTGAAGGCCTGCGGTGCGCAAGACATAATTTGATGAATTCACTCCCTAGATCTAAACAGGCTGCGTAGCTTGAAGTTAGCTTCTGAAATAGTGAGAAAAGATAAAACTGAAGAGATCTTTGCAAGAAAGCTGGGCTATACTTAATTTTTGTGTTTAGCAGCCTAGAATTCATATGAGCTCTTTTCCGAGGTACAATACTTGGGGCATCTTCTACAGCATCTTCTAGTGATCAGAGTGTTTTACAATTGTTCACTACTGGTTTTAGTTTCAGAAGAATTGCCAGCGGGACTTGGTTCAAGTACTCAGCTTTTAAGTTCCACTGCAAATGTGATTGATGCAATGTGTGCCACAGTATGAGTAGGTGTAGTGTCTAGAAAGTTACAATTAGCATATTTATATGCTGGAAGGAATTAATAGTTTACGTGCATTGACAGGTCACAAAAAGGTTTTGGTCATGTATTGCTTCAATTTTTTTGTGACCTGTCAATGCCCTGTCATGTATGCCTCTTGTATTGCTTCAATCACAAGCTAGACAAGTCCATCTTGTAAGTACACAGGGTGATGGTCATGATCCATGTGCAGTACACTTGACAGTTGGGTAGTGCAACTACTCTTAAACAGTACTGTTTTGTGCTTTTGTGTGACAGTCCAGTCAATTAATTTTGGTTCTTATTTTCTTTTTGTCTCTAGTTCTTTTGCAATTACGTTTATTCAACAGGTTCTACTGTTTTCAGTACAGCTCAAGAACCGTGTTTGAAATTTTAATAGATAGATGATTTTGTCATCTTTACTTCTGCATAATATCTTTAGTATGTGTGTTGTACATATCACTGTTGGTGAACTCATCATGTACAAGAAGCACTTGTATCATTCTGTTGTGGTTGCTTGTGTCAATCTATTTATTTCTCAAGTAGTATTAATGTGACAATTTTATGAGGTTTATTTTTTAATGTATATGTATATATATATATAATTATTTATTTGTAAGATTTTTTTAACAAAATTGTTTTAGTCAAGTATCATTAAGTTTTATCAATTAGTTTTGAATGATCTTGTGATGAATTTAAAGAATTATTTTTGTAAGGGGATTTTTATACCTACAAGTCTTCTTCAAAAGACCAAGATACAAAAAGTTTTAGAAAGGTTGTCTATTTGGTAAAGAAAAAATTTCTTTTGGAAGTCTTAGCTTTTGGGGATAAAATCAAATAAAAAAGATCCATGAAAGTAATCAAATCACTTTTTTATTATAACATTTCATATGGTAATTTGCATCTTAATTTTGAAGGTTATGATAAATCTAAAAATAATAATAAGCATATAAATATAAATACATATACATACACCAAATTCTATGCACATTTTAACATGACTTTTTAAAATTTTGTAAAAACCACTTCTTTGAGATTAGAGTATTGCAAATTATAAGAGATGATACTATTCATGCCATATAGAAGAAAGAAAGAAAGAAAGAAAGAAAAAATACATTCCACCTCATATTTCTTTTCAATGTTTTTTTTCTTATTTTTTAAAATTACAAAACTAACTATGTGAGGCTTCTCAATTTTAATCTATCACAAGCTTTGATATGTAAGGTTTTCCACCTTCTCTTCTAACTATAAAGGCTTCTTTAGATATGAAAAAAATATATCAAGAAATGATACTATCTCTATGATCCTTTTTTATCATGCAATAATAATTTAAATTAATTATATGTAAAAATAAAAACACGAATAACATATTAATGACCTGTATTTTTTATTTTTTGAAATAATCAATTAATACTAAAATATATAATCAAAACCTTAATATAAATTATATTGTAATTTTTAAGTTTAAGTTTTAAAATATTTTATTTTAATTATCTAATTTAATAAAATTTAAATTTTAAATAATTATAATTATAAAAAATATAGATACAAGAATAAAAATGCATAATTTAGAAAAAAATTATTTTAGATTATTTTTGTATAAAATTTAATAATAATACATAAGTTTTAAATACAAATTCATCATTAATATTCATGCTACATTGTTTTTGGAATTTTTTTAAGGTTCCAAAAGTAGCTTATTTGCAAATCAAAATATAGCTTTATTTTTAAAATTTTAATAATAAGAGTAAATATATTGTTTTTAAACCATGTAAAGCTTTTGTAATGCTTTAAACTATTGTGCATGCATAATATCTTTTCAAAAAAAAACAAAAACAAAAACAAACAATTTAGAATACATCTTTGTCATATTTCATAATAAAGAAACTAATTTTGATTGTTGCAATATTTAGAAAGGAAAAAGTATGTCTACCAAAAAATTATATTTGAAAGAAATATTAACTACCAATTATTATCTAAGTTTGTTCAAAATTCAAAGTTGTAATATTCAAAATATTGATAGTTGTTTAAAGTACTTATTTGTTGTATTGAGCAAAATGAAATCAACATATAGTTATCTAAGTGATTTAAAGTTGGCATTTGTGAACAAATTATTATACCAAAGTAAGTGCAATTTGTAGATTTTGATAAATTATTGCATATTCAACTTGATAAGCTTTATTCAAATAGCAAGAAATTGTTTGTTTGTAAGTATATACAATGAGCCTTGCTTAGTGACAATATTAGTTATATCTTGCCATGGTTAAATAAATGTTAATATAATAGCCTTCAATAATGTGTTCATTTTCTTTGAAATTAAATTATTGAATGTTTGATGCACTAAAAAACTAAGCATGTCTAATATCCCTCTTACAACAATTTGAAAAATACATGTTATTGACAACTAAGTCATCTAGTGATAGTAATGCAAGTTCATGTAGCTTTAGTAGCCCCTTTATGTTGACCATTTGACAATGTGTTGCAATTAAAAGTTTTAGTTACTTATATTGTTGTAAAAAAAAACTTTTTTAGTTCCTAAAGAGCTGTAAGAATAATATTTGTTTATTCAAAGATCCTTCAATTAAAAATTAAAGAATTCACCACATCAAAAATAAAACACAAGCATGCTTCTTTACTCTCAAACATTATTGTTTTATAACTTGATGAAACTTATAGCATTTGGCAATTGCAGCAATAGATAACTACTAAGTGTTAGCCACTTTTAATCAAATTATTTTTATTTGTGAATTATTTATTTATTTATTTATTTTTTTGTTGGAGATGTCCAATTAAAGCAGTCAAGTTATCTCAGAATTAATAATCTAAAGTATTGATAAAAGTATGTTGCATGAGTAGATATAGCTAATGCAAATCATACTAGATTTAAATGATTCTATGCAAAGAAACAAGTTTAGTTTGGATAGTAATACCATTAATTTAGCCAATCATACTTCAATTGTTGTTAATCAATGCATTCATTATTTTTTGTTTTCATGCATGGAAAACTACATCTTTAAATGCAACTATTATTTTAAACATAATTTTACCAATGTATCAATCAAATAGAAGAATAAGAAACAAATGAATTTTTTGTATGGTTGTATTATAAAAGGATTAACAATATACATCTAGATAAGACATATTTTAATGTATTAAGTTATCTAAAAAAATTTAGAGTGTTCAAACCTTCAAAATAATATCTTATAGATTCTATAAAGAAATTATTCAAATAATTTGGGCATAATTAGAGATAATGGTGTTATTGGCACCTTATAGTTAATCAAGGCCAGAATAATCTAATGTGGTCTAAATCAAAGGGGCTACTATTTAAAATATAATACCACATAAGAGATACTTGACATAAAATATAAAAATAAAAATAAAAATGTTGTAATTATGACTTCATAACTAGAAATTTTACCATCCTTGTTACTAACTTGCGGTTGGAAGATACTAATAGCACATTTATGCATGAAATTTTTAATATAAATAGTATAATATATAGCTTCTCTAATAATAACTTCAACAAGTAATTTATTCAAGAGAAATATAATAGGCTTATTTATTATCAAAATGAGAGTCTAAGATGTTGACAAATAGAGTGTTAATAATGCAAAAGAATAATTTCTTGTCTTTATTAGATATCAACTATTGATACTTTGCCTATTTCTTTGAATGTTGTCCCAACCAATGCTATTTATAATTATTAGTGGTGAAGGCATTAAAATAATTGATATGGATTATTTCCATGTGCTTGCATCTAATGTCTTCTTCTTTGTCAAAGGCAAAATAAAATAACAAGCAACACTAAATACTTTGAAAGAATTTGGATCTCAAGTTTTAATCATTAATCAAAACTTCCTAGCATATTGTCATAGACATCCATATTTACTCTAATAATTACCTATATGACTAGATAGAAGTAGGTAAAAGTAGATTAATTTCATAACATCTTCTAGAAAAGCTTTTAGAAGCTTCATAGATGTGGTTTTGACTTTAAATGTATTTATAGTTGATTAATAGGTTAGAAACTTAATCAACAAGTTAATCACATGTCACATGTGTTAGTAGCTTGTGGAGCAAGTTAAGTATGTGGCGCACATATAGAAAACTTGCCTTATAAGCTAAGATATGTGTCTTGCAGTCAGCATGTGTTGGAGGTCCTATAGAACATTGCCATATAACTCTTAGTTAGGTAGAATATATGGACACAATTTTTGAATCAAAATATGAAAGGAAAATATTTTTTAAAATTTTAGATTCATGTAAATAAAAAAAATATGATTAAAAAATCTTTAAATCTTCAAAATTATATTAAATAAATAATAATATATAATTTAATAGTTGATTCATTTTAATCAAACATACAATAATATTTTTGAACAGTTTTGTTTTTATTTTTATTTTTTAATCAAGGTTGTAAATTTCCACGCCTTATCTTCAAAACATTATTGAAGTCTTATTTTTAAATTTGAGTGGATATTTAATTTCTATGTCTTAAATTTAATAAAGCACTCATTGAATCAAGTTCAAATTTAACAAAAATCTCAAATCAAATAATTAAGATATAGGATGATTTCTGATATAAAAAAAGAAAAAAAGAAAAAACACATTTAATACATAGCTGATTATTCAATTATTACATTGCATTTTATTTCTCAGCTTTTTTCATTGATTAATTCAATCATCCAATTGTATGTTGGATAACCTCCATTCCACCATGATTAAAAGTACCTTACTGGCCTCGTTTTTTTTTTACAAAATTTTCATATATTCTTTCAAAAAGAAACCTTGTATATAACACATCTGGAATGCATTTTTATATGAAATCGTTGATTATGGGTTTGTGTGCACTTGTGTAAGGACCCAGCAAGCTGCAGCATGTTGTCTAGCTACACAGTGACTGCATTTAAGCCTCTTCTCCAGCGCACAAACCACTTGTGGCTCTTAAAACCCCAAATTTGAGTGACCCAGAGTCAACGGATAATTTTAGCGATCTAGTTCATCTGAACCTGCAAGTTGAGCTCATCCAGAACATTAGAAAGTTCAATACACCAAAACAGAGCATATCCAAAATTATGGTACATATCACAGAAACACATTATCCCATGTTATGAAATCTGTATTCAAATACTATAAACCAAAGGCGTATGATCAGACTACAGAAATATAACACTATGTGTTGAAATTCCAGTATCAAAATCACTCGAATATCTTATCTTTACAGACGGCTCAAAAGCAGGGTAGAACAACCCCTTATCTTGAAACACAAGAAACAAAATAACAAAAGAGAGAGAGAATAGGAAATATTAAAAAAAAACAACAATTTCAGAATCTTAGAGTACTCGTGTATTTATTTTAGTTGCAAACGGTGTTGCTTTGCCGTGTCTGATTCAAAAAAGGTAAACTATAAAAGCAGCAGCTAGGTTGGGACTGAACCAAGATTCTAGAAGGGTATCAACTCGCAGTATTCATGTGCAGCGACACAACCACCTGAACTCAGAGACCAATGCCCAATGCTCCACCATGGGAGCTTATCCCCAATCTTTCCAAGGAACAAGGCAAAACACGACTGCAGGTGTGGAAAACAGAACCCAATGAATAAAAAATGAGAGTATGGCAAGCGTGTGGAAGGCTTGGACCAGCGGAAAGCAAGTGGTACAACCCTTCTCCCCTTGGTCTCCGGAATCAGGGCACGCTCCTCGACCTGTGCTACAAGTGAAAAACGGCGACGCGCCTTCGACGCCCCGCACGCACCACGCTCCCATCGTCTGCCCGCCCGTGCCTGGAGGTGTCGCTTCCCGCATGGCCCGCCACGTCTGCCACCCGAAACCAATATCGAGCCTAGGTGGCACGAACCATGTCCTACGTGGTACGGCCGTCGACTCCACCTCGGATCCACGTCGGATTTTAAGAGGAACGCACACAGGGAAAGGCGCGCGCGGCACACTTGTGAGTGTGGCTCGTTGGAGTCGGTCAGTGGCAGACCTCGCGAGCACACGCCATCGCTGTGGCTGCTTCCCCGGCTCCCCCTATTTTACTCAAGTATTGCCGTATGAACCGAGGATTGATGTCAGTGTGGGGTCCTGAAAATCTCCGCTGCATTGCGAGGCATTGGAAGACAGTGCGTGCCGCGGTGGTTTGGGTCGACGTCTTGCAATGGAGGTCGGCATGGCAGGATCGCGGTGTGCTGTGGGACGATTCGAGAGTTCTGGTAGTTTAGGTAGTTTGAGGGAATTCTGTGGCGGTGTGGCGAAACAGGGTGTGAGAAGGGTGGGGTGTTGTGGGACTGGATTTGTCGACCGTAGTCATGAGAGTTTTTACGCGCTGCCGGTGCGGTGCGGCAAGAAGGAGAAGCGGATGGCGGGGAAGCTCGCGAAAGTGCAGGAGCTCGTCAAGGCCCAACGGGCTCTTGTTTTGTCGTCGCGGAGGGCGTTAGCTGAGCGAAGTGCCGGCGTGGCTGGTGATTTGGTGGCGGATGATTCTATTGAAATTGGGATTGGTGATGCTGTGATCGAGCAGATGATCAGGAACCTCGCCGTTCTTCAGATGGAGGTTGAGACTCTCAATGTGAAGGCGAAGCGAAAGAAGAATGGATCGTCTTCGAGTTCTTCATCTTCGTCTTCGTCTTCTTCTTCTGAGTCGAGCAATAGTGATGCAAGGAAGGCAATGAAAATGGGGATGCCTCTCAAAATGAAAGGATCGAAGAATAAGTCTTCCTCATCCTCCTCCTCAAGTTCCTCCTCATCATCGGAATCCAGCGGCAGTGATGTTGGTAAATCTGTTGATATGCGAGCTTTGCGCAAGAAAAATTCTGGAATTGCTCAGCCTTCCAGCCCCGCGAATCCCTCAATGGCAACTTCGGCGGGTGCTGTCCCGATTGCTGCAACAGTCAACTCGAACAATTCCATCTCAGTAGTGGCCGCCGAGCATGCTTCACAGGGTAATGCGTTAGCAGCAGCGATGAGTTCTATGAGAGTAGCATCGACTCCTTCAATGGATGGAAACAACCGAGCTGCTGCACCAGCAAGTACGAGCGCTGCCCCTGAAGACGAGGAGCCTGCTATTATTGCCCATATACGAGCTCTCTGCAGCAGTGCGAATGCTTTCACTTCAGCCAGTGCTAGAGAAATCTACACCAGGGGACCGATTGAATTGAAAGACACGCCTAATGGACGGATTATTGTGGACAAAGTCCCGTCGTCAATGCCCCCAGTTGCCTCTGGTCTTACGGAATTCAGTTGTAGCGGAAAGATTGAGGTGTGCACAGTAGGCAAATGCAGGAGAGGGGGTTCGCAGGAGATCCTCGCGGCTTTTCAAGAAAGTATTCCTGAATCTTCTAACCTCTCGGCGACATCGTGCAAGTGCATGGGGAAGTGCAAGAGTGCCCCGAACGTCCGGGTAAAGAACAGTGACGGGATATCACAATTACACAGCCATGTGTCTGCGGAGGATGTCGATACTCTTCTTGAGTTGCATTTCGGAATGCAACCTTCGGGGAACCCGATGCCTGTATTGATGGCGACCATAGATTCTGATTTCTAGGCTGCGTTGATGATCAAGCAATACTGGTTTTCAGCGTCCTTAGTCCATCTTTGTTTATCATACAACTGTAAATACTAGCATTGATTAGGATTGCGGAATGGATCATTAACATGATGACAGAGACAAGGTCGTATGAGTGTAGAATGAAGTCGCATGTGTGAATATCTTCAACTTTTTTGCTGAAGGTTGACCAATTCATGCAAAGAAAAATTGATTTTATCGCGGCATCAACATCGTTGCATTCATATATTGTGAGCAATGAGATTGATTGTCAATATTCCATCTGTTTATTTCAATACATTTGCAGCGTCAGCAGTAATAATAACTCATCTTTTGCTATTCGTGCAAGCAATGCAACCAATACAGTTGAAATGTACAAAACCCCGAAATTTATACTGATGAAGTCGTTATATTGCATAAAATCTGTGCATTTAACAACTAAAACAGTAGTATAAAATACGTCAACATATGTCAAATTCTCCACCTGTACCAATTACGATTCTTTCCAGCTTTCGGGCACTACAAATACCTTCGGTGTAATAACTTCTATTCGTATGTGCCAACCCTACAATCAGCAGCTCCAAGTCCTAGAAGAAATATCGTTGCTGCCTCACAGGTCATTTATTATCTCCCTCAAAGCTTTCCGTCTACTTGCATCTTCCTCCACCAAAGCCCTCTCAGTCAGCACCTGCTTGATACGACACATCGTCTTGCGCACCTGGTGGTGAAGCAGACACAGCGTCAATGGTCATGCCACATACACAGACCCGTTGTAGTAGCAACTTCGAGTGCATAATAAAAAAGCATTAGTACGAAGACAGCAATATGAGGCATCGTGCCCTGGACATGAAAACATGTGAGCAAGGACGAAGAAAATTACCATAAGGAGGCCATAAGTTAAAAAACAAACAAGACAGTTGGAGCAAATGCGCTAGAATAAGTTCGGTTAAAGATGTGCTGGATGTCAAACACAGTCAACATAGTTGCTCAACATAAGGAATACAATAAAGACTAGGGCTAATACACATATAAGACACAAGATAAAGCAATGTCGCACAAATTATTAAAAAGAGAATGGATACTACAAACTAACTTATTGCGGCGAGATGTCCACAAACAAAGTTCACACACAGAACCATTTGTGTGATAGTGCATGTACCTTCGGAAAACGCTCAGGGTATGGCATCCGCATGTTTTGCGAGAGCAACATTGGTTTCTGCGATAGCAGCATATTCTTTTCCATTAAGCAAACATACCATAATTAATGCAAATCCTCCAATGATTTCTGTCGTAGTTCCTCGGCCTTCCAACTGCGACCTACACATATGAAGCAAGCAGGTAATTTTTACAACTGTTTAACCATCATACGCATAAAGAAATCCCTTTTCTCAAACATAGTTCCACAAAAAGCTCCTGTAGAAGTTCGAATCAGAATCACAAACCGCACAACCTAAAACATCAGAGGAATGGTGCTAGTATCTTCAAACTCTGCTGCATCGCTAACCAAAACGAAAAAAGAAAAAAGGAAAATCGTCGCAACAATGAGATGCACAGAATTCAGCGGTTTCCGCCAGACAACAAATGCCCACCAACCCAAAATCTCCCTAAATCCGATCATGAGAACCTCATCGTCCAGACAAGTTCTACGTATCCGACGAGGATGGTCAGAAATTGAGTAACGACATTTGCCTGCCGCCAATTCGGATGTGAGGGCACGCAGAAAATAAACCGTTTGGCGAAGACAGAGGCAGAGCTCCAAACCCTAAAATCCAGAACCCTCGTGAAATTAAGCTCGCAAAGCTGGAAAACCAAAGCATAAAAAAAAACCAAAATGGTGAAACTGGCATCAAATTCTCACCTTCTTAAGGCCCATGATAGTATATACTAGCATTATTATTGCTGTGAGGCTTTTGCTGTGGTTTGGGAGTTATAAGTTGAAGCAAGTTGTTGATGTACAATACTATGCAATTTACATAGAAAAATTTAACAACACATAATACAATATTATATTAGTTCTACAACTGCGTGCAGCTGTTCGTATCGGCGGCCGCATGGAATGAGCTCTGGTGTCCCAGCAAGTCCTATCCGCTGCATCTGGAAATCTTGACATTCTTTCCACTTCATTTTTTTCGCTGAGTCTTGGCAATGTGGTTAGAGGATATATACAGGCACCCATGGGAGCGGGTAGAACATACAGTAATAGAACTAAATCATAGTGCAAATAATATAATCAAAAATTGCACAGATATATTTTTACTAAGACTATAAAGAAAAAAATAACAATATTCATTCACTTAAAACAACAAATCAAATTTTAAAATAGGGAGTTGTTAAAGCCACACCTCCAATATTCCATGTGATGATTAATTTTGGGGATAGGAAACAAGGAATGGGGATAGGGAAGAAGGCATGGAGATTGGGTTTTGTATAAAAATATATATAATTGTAAGAATGCAATAGAAAAGAGATATTAAAAAAAAATGATTTTTGATGTTATTTTTTATTTTTTTTAAAAGTAACCATAAAAATTTATAAATTTTGGATAAATATTTATTTATATGATATTATGTTCTTATACAACACTGTTATGTAAAGGTCATTATTTTAAAGCCCTCTTCTTATTTTTCTAAATTCAAATTTATTTAGAGCCTACAAATTTTGCAATTATTACCTTTGTATTTTTGATTTTCAAAGCCTTTACTTATTTTTGTCACAAGAAATTTGTGAGATATTATTGAATATTCTTAATTCAAAAACCCAAGCTAGGTCTTGTAGAATTATACATGGCAAAAATTTGTACTCTAGAGATATCACTAGTAAAACCCTTGGATAAGAATACTTTCACATAGTCAAAATAGCTCAATATTACTTCATAGTATCAAGCTGCAAAGTAATTTTGTGAACCTAAATTTGTTGTGATTAAAAGAATATAATCATTAAATAAAATAAAGAAAATATAAAATTTAATTTTGTATTTACAAAAGAAAGCATTGCTAAAGCAACATCTCCATGTTGTTAATGTGACACTCCCTTGGGTTCTCATGAATAATTTAGTTTATTCTCCATCCTCATCTTCAATCCCCTTCACCAATCCCCATCGCCTATCTCCAATCTTTCATTTTCTACCCTTGTCTTCTATCTTCAACCCTTGTCATATGTTCTAATCCCCTTTCCTTCCTCTCTCCATTTCCAACACATGTCCCTTGTTCTTATTCCCATTTTATAAAAAATATTATTCAATTTTCTAAACAATTCATGTTTCTTACTAAAGAAACCAAGCCTTAATCCCAAAGCCTTCAACCATAGATTTTACACATAATGTCTATTTCAAAAGATTTGCACATTCTAAATTTTAATTTAAAATTTTAAGATTCTACAAGTATATAGAATACAATCAAATAATTCAATAATGTTTAAATTAAAAACAATACACATTATCTTTTAACTGTAATGCAATATCAATAGCAATTTAAGCACAAAATAATTTTATAAAAATAGTATTTATGTTCAAAGTTATTGTTGTCATTTACAATAATAAAAAATAGGAATAAGGAATGAGTGTTGGGAACGAAGATAAGAGACAAGGAACGGGGATGGCAACCAAGGAATAATAGACAGGAACAAGACATGGAAGACATGAAAGGAGCACAAGGGGGTCATGATAATAACAAAAAAATTAGAAAAATATAGATTATTACAACTAATCAAACTAAAAAGAAGAAAATAGTCTTAAATAATAAATAATATAAAAATATAAAAAAGAATAAAAAAATTATAATTATTAAGTGTTTAAAAGATGAAGATGATTTATTAGAAAATACGAAGATGATTTGAATAAAAAAAATAAAAGACCATGAAGTTGAAGTTTTTTTTTTTTTTTTTTTTTTTTTTTAAATGATGATTATTTAATAAAATGATAATTAAATCAATACAATGAAATGGGCAAAATAAAAGATACAATGATTTCTTGAATAGTTAAGATTAAAGTGGAAGAAGAGTCAAGAGAAGCAAGTGACAACAAAGAATAGGAAGAATATGAAATACTATCTATCAAAATATGATATTTTATGAAAATTATGTAGCAAGCATATACAATACTAATCTATTGAATTATAATATTTATTAAAATATAGATGAATAGATTAGATTTTTGTATTTTCTTGTGTGGCCTTTTTGATGGGTTTTAAGATTTAACTTATATGATTGATACAAAATTTTATCAAGTAATTGATAATTAATTTTTCTAAATATATCTCAAGATCTATTTATTAGATTAAACTTAAATCTATAATACTACAAGAAAATACCAAGATAAAACTAATTGTAAACTTTGAATGAAAATTAGTGGTTGGATTTGAAAATTTAGTTGTAAGAAGTTTTTTATCCAATTTAGAAAAAAAGCTAAGGAGAAATAATACAACTTTTTTGTGAATTCTATTAGATTTTAAGCTGAATTTTTTTTATGTTTTGTAAGAAAATAAGAATATTAAAACAACAGCCCGTTTGAAAATTTAATACTTTTCTAAAAATTTAATTAGAGAACGTGATTGTTAAATTCTACAATTCAAACTCAGAATTTATTAAGAAACTTGAAGTTGTTATGGAGTAGAATTAAAGAAAATTATTTAATATTTTTATATGGTTAAGCTTGTTGGCAAAAGAAATTCTAAGTATTTTATATTCCAATTAAAGCCTTAAGGATTGAAATTAAAATTTATTCTGTATTTATTTATAAATTCTAAAATCTATATATATATATATATATACTTTTTTTTAGCCAAATAACTAGAGCATTTCCAACAAATTCTAGTAACAATCTATGAAGATATTTTAAGAAAAAAAATTTAAAATTAAAATTAAACAATTCCAAGTACAATAAATAGTTTATAGTATTTTATAATGTTTCAGTATTACGATTATATTCTTATTAAAACTCGTAATAGTCAATAATATACTCATGAAATTAACTAGTAAAAAAATAAAAAATAAAAAATAGATAAAAATCAACATTTTAAAATTTAAAAACAACTTTCAATAGAATTCTTATTTTGAGTGATTTTATTTTTTTAAACCGAGTTGTATAGAAACGTGTGCGTTGAACTTTATACGAAAGGTAATTTGAATAAAATTTAATAAAAAATATTAAATTCATTCTATTACTTTTTACTTTAAAAAACTCAGTACTTAAAATCAAATATAAGAGTATATATATATATATATATATTTATATATGTATATATGCATTTAATTTTTATTTAGCTATTTTATATATAATGAAAAACATTATCTGAAAGATGCTTTGAAGATAGTTATTAGTTTAACCAATTACAAGAATCTTAAATAATTTATGTCATCATATACCTAAAATTGCTATTAAGCTTTCTCGAATAAAATTTTCTCATGGTTTTTATTTATTATTTATAATTTTTAAATGAAAATATTTTTTTAGATGTTTTGTTTGAATACTCCTGTTATATATATATATATATATATATATATTGCAACAATTTTATTTTAAAACAAGATCAATTACATCTTTGATTTATTTATTCAAATACTCTCTTGTAATATGATATTTTGGATAAAATATATTAAATATAAATAAGTAGAAATATGTTAAGTATAAGTATATATATATATATATATATATATATATATAATAAACAAGGAAGCTTCTTATATGAAAATTTGATCTATAAATACTTTTAAATATGCTATGTAATTATAAAGATTCTCTTAGAAGTTAACTAGTTTTTAAAGCCATTATGAAAGCATCTTGTAACTTAGGTATTTATCTTTAAGTATTATATATTCTAAAATTTATCACATGCTTTTATTTTTAGCTTTTATATATATATATATATATATATATATATATGTAAGCAATGTATAGTCTATTTTTTATTTTTTAATGAATTTTTATTTTTGAAATGAAATTTAATAAAAAAATAAAAAATAATACATTATTCTAAAAAAATATAAATAATTTAATATCATTCATTTCAAGATTAGTTAGATATTATTTTTTTATTTTGTAATAAAATATAAGACAAAATTCTTTATTTAATATATATTTAAAATGTATTTAAAATATTAAATTTAAGATTAATTTTTATACATTTTATTTTTTAATTTATTCTTTTTTAATATTTATTAATGTTCAATTTTTATTTTTTATTTTTTATTTTTTTTGTACAAAATCACTACATGAAGGCTTGAGCTACAATTATACCTCAAATTACTATGTACACACCCATTATGTCTTTACATGCACCTAAAGCCTCTTATTGGTTAGCCTCCTAAGTTTGAATGGCCTCAAAAGAGTAATCCTAATCCCTAATAGGGCTTCAGGCAGCTTCCTTAAAGCCCATTGGACATGATTTTTGACCAATGAGAATGGAGATTTTTATCATCCACCTCCATTCATCCATGTGAATACCTTAACTTCTCTTTTTGCTACTAAGACCCTTCTCTAATTCTTTTCTAATAAGATTTGCATATTATATGCCATAAACATCAAATAAAAGAAACAAAATAAGACTTCAAGGATTATCAATGTTTAACAAAGGTGACTTTAAATATATAAAACTATTATCAATATAGAATCAACTTCAATAATAGCCTTTTTAAACTAACCATTTTAAAGTAGTAATCTAACTATATTTTGTAACTAATTAAAATCTAATAATGTATAATAAATTGTACATTAAATATTTATGTGCATTATTTTTATAGAGTAGCCAAACCACAACACGACAACGGATCTAGGACCTTTTCTCTCTTTTCATTGTCTTAGTGCGAGTATTGATAACAAGACAAGAGTTAGGGCTTAAACAAATTGGAACTTACATCGCGAAAAGAATAGAAGAGATCTGAATTGGCCAATCAGAGACCTTGGGTGTGTGTATAGCAATTGGGAGTGTGCTCATAGCCTAAGTCCTACAAAAAATGCTTAGTCACAAGATGGTTCCACACAAAATCTATGTTTTAAAGGACAATTTGTTTATACTATTAAAAATTAGATTGAATCCACACAAAATCTGTGTTGTAAAATACATTTTGTTTATGCTGTTTAAAATTAGATTGAAGTTAGTATATATGTATATATATATATATATATATATATTTCTTCTTACTATTTTTTTCTTCTAAAAATTATACTTAAAAATATCTGAAATAATATAATAACTATCATGTGAGTTTAGGATATTAAATATTTATTGTTATTAAATATGTTTTTCTGAAGAGAAATTTCCTAAACTTTAGAATCATATATTGTAAAATACTAAGAGATAATATTACAACTTCAATTTTTAAAAATAAATCTAATATTGATAGAAGAATTTTTAGTTAGATAGATTGCATCAAGGTTTTATTTATTTATTTTTATATAATGTTAATAAATCGACCAAATCATGATTTACAAATTGCAGGCTTGATGGGATAGACACGGTGAACACAAATGACCCCCCCCCCCTCCCGTTACTCCTCCCTTTCCTCCCTCCTTCCCACCCACCATCTGCAGCAGCAGCAGCAGATACGAAGGACAAAGGAGATTGGTAGACGAGGAGAAAGAACACTGAAGAAGCACACTGGATGGAGAAGGCTCCGTGGAGAAAGCTCCGTGAAGCGGAGGATGTGGTGCAAAAAGCGAGAGCCAGAAATAATCCACACACATACACACAGCGAGAAAGAGAGAGATTTACTTAGTTACCACAATAGTGGTATGTAAAAGGGGTTGCTCCAAGCAGGCAGGCGGGGTTTCGCAGTGAGTGAGTGAGTTTGTGAGAGTGAGAGATTGTGTGTGTCAGAGTGTGTGTCAGAGTGCAGCAGGACGGGGTGGGTTGCAGGGAGAGAGGAGGAGGTGGTGGGGCATGGCAGAGGCCATTGCATGTGTGTGGCCCGTCAATCCAGACTGACTGACTGACTGGCCTCTCGCTTTCGGTGCAGCGCCCACCCACTTTCTCCCTCCCTCGCATCGCTCCCGTCCATCTCCATCTCCTCCGCCCAATTCAGTTCTCGCAATTCCTATTTGTCTCTCTCAACCCAGGCAGGAAATTCGACGAAGACCTTTCCTGCGAGCCCCTCCGTTGCTTGGGATGAATCGATCGGGAACCTCTTGCAGCCACTCAATAGAACCGTATCCACCACGTGGTCCGATCACATCCTCATCTTTTCTGCCCGCCATTGATTCTGGCACGCTTCATGTTCCCCTCTGTGAATCTCTTCTCTTGTTAACCCCTCAATCATGGCTTCATGATTAGGTGTGTGGCGCTGTAATTTTAGAAACGGCGTTGGTGGAGCAACGATTCTCTCAATTGTCGCCGTCTGTGTGATTTTCGGTTGTGAATTCGGAAAGGTAGAAGTCTTTGAGCCGCCGTGGTTCAGTCGGAGCGAGACCTTTTGTTGGGAGGTTGTCAGGCGCTTAGGTGCAGCTCAATCGCTAACTGAAACGAGACTTGTGAGGAGCTCGAAGGCCGCTGATTGGCAGCCCCGGCGAGTATAATTGTGGAACCTGTGGCGTGGAGTGTAGTAGTCGTCTGTCTGCGACCAATAGCATCTTGGCTTTGCCGACCCTGCCCCCCAATTGTACCGCTTCTCTGTAAAGAGGAAAGGGTTCTACCTATCATCTGCATCACACTGGTACGAATCTCTTTTGCCGTCCCTGTCAAAGCATCGCCGGTCTTCACCCAGGGGTCTAATTAGTTCGGTGCGAGTCCAAAGGTTTCATTGGTGTTTCATTGCGGTTGAGAGTTCGGGGCTTTGTTGGTGTGTCTGAGTTTGTAAAGGTTCTTGGGGGTTGTTGTAGAATCTGTGTCGAGATGGCCGCCGTTGCGGGGAACCTTGGTGCTGTTGCTGGAGCGAGTCTGAATAGCAATGTTCTGGTAAAGCTCGATGGTGGAAGTGTCAGTTCAAGTGCATTTTTGGGTCGCAAGTTGGCGACCGGGGGATCTATTAAAGCCAATGTGAAGCACCAGGGGGTGGTGGGGAAGAGGCGGGGTGTGGTGGCTTATGTTGCTCCGAGCACCACAGAGAAGTCCGTGAATGAGCCCAAGAAGGCTGCTGGCGGGATTGCGGAGGGCCAGAAGGGTGGGCAATGTTTCGGCGTGTTTTGCGTCACGTATGATCTGAAGGAGGGCGAAAGACCCAAAACGTGGAGGAAAACGGTGCGCATTGCGGTGTCTGGGGCCGCTGGTATGATTGCTAATCACTTGTTGTTCAAGCTTGCGTCTGGAGAGGTCTTCGGCCAGGATCAGCCCATTGCACTGAATTTGTTGGGTTCTGAGAGGTCGCGGGATGCTCTGGAGGGAGTGGCTATGGAGTTGGAGGATTCGCTGTTCCCCTTATTGCGAGAAGTGAACATTGGTATTGAGCCAGAGGAGGTTTTTGCTGATGCGGATTGGGCTCTTCTTATCGGTGCCAAGCCCCGAGGTCCTGGAATGGAGAGGGCGGACTTGCTCGACCTCAATGGACAAATTTTTGCCAACCAGGGCAAAGCTTTGAACAAAGTGGCGAGCCCTGATGTGAAAGTTCTCGTGGTGGGCAACCCATGCAACACGAATGCTCTGATCGCTTTGAAGAATGCGCCTCGTCTCAACCCTCGGAATTTCCATGCCCTCACCAGGTTGGATGAGAATCGAGCCAAATGCCAGTTGGCCCTCAAGGCTGGTGTATTTTACGATAACGTATCGAACATGACGATCTGGGGAAACCACTCCACCACACAAGTCCCAGATTTCTTGAACGCCAAAATCCATGGCGCAAGAGTGGTGGATGTCATTCAGGATGAGAAGTGGCTGAAGGAAGAGTTTACTCCCAGAGTGCAGAAACGAGGAGGTGCCCTTATCCAGAAGTGGGGTCGATCATCTGCCGCTTCTACAGCGGTATCGATTGCTGATGCCATCAAGTCTTTGATTACCCCCACTCCAGAAGGTGACTGGTTTTCATCAGGAGTATACACGAACGGAAACCCCTACGGAATTGCTGAAGATATTATCTACAGCATGCCCTGTCGATCTGCTGGAGATGGGTCCTGGGAGTTGGTTACCGATTGTGAAATTAACGACTACCTACGTGAGCGCATGAAGAAGAGCGAAGACGAGTTACTCGCAGAGAAGAAGTGTGTTGCCCATCTAATTGGCCAGGAGAATGGCTATTGTGACCTTCCCGAAGGCGATACAATGTTGCCTGGAGAGCTGTAAATCTTGGTCACTGATGTTTCTCTGAAACTTCGATGAGGCTGGTACTGAGGTAGTTTTTCTTTTTCTGATATGCGATAGTACCTTTCAGGTTCTTTGTTCATGTTTGCAACCGCTTAGTTAGGGTTTAGTTAGGAGGCCGATGAATTGCCATGGCAAGATAGATTTTTTAAAGCAATGGGCTGGTTAACCTGTGAAGTAGAGGTGCACACTTGTGGATTTCTGGGCTTAGTTTCTCTGCACATGTACTCCTCTATTTTGAGAGACTGCATCTTGTCACGGAAGCAGTAGAATTCATGCTTTTGTCTAGGTTCTCGCTGGTCGTTTGGGTCAGGCCTGTACTCGTGCTGAAGCATCATGTTTTATGAAGCATTAGGCGTACATGATGGTGAAGGGGTTTATGCAGACAGCCTGCAGCTAGTGAAGAGACTAGAAGGCTTGGAATTTGTGAATAAACACCATAGTTAACCAGTTTATAAAGAGACTAGCCCTGATGAAGGTATTAGTGGAAAGTTGAACCTCTACAACATATGTTTATTGCAGCTTGAAGGATTATTGAGTGTACAGTCGTGATTTGACAGTGATTTTCAAACTACCGAGTTTGTGGCAATTGTTGTGAGATTTTTAACTTTCCCCTCTCGGTCGATTAGTGATTCCACCTGGTTGATGACACCTCAAGTTGATTGTTGAGAAGTTATCTCACGCTGGATCATAACTTGTGTGTCTTGGCTCAACTCTTCCAATCACCAACAATCATTAGGTACAGTCGGAAGTCCATGTTTCTTAGCTGGTCTTTGAAGAAAGCGCGCGGTTTGTTCGAAAACTGCTGGAGATGAGTGCAACTCAAGAGGGCCCCCGCATCCCAAATTTACTATTACTGCAGACTGCAACTTTATTCCTCAGGGAGCTCATTCAAGAATAACTTCGCGCAACTGTCTGTAGGGGATACAGCGCACACAAACGACGATGGCAGGGGGTTAATCTCATCCAAGCTTCTATAGCTGAATACAGCTGTCCCATAAATCATCCTTAGGTACAGACCTTGACTGACAACCGTTCACTTATCACATATTTATATTCTAGTGTACACCCCAGCCACAAGAGACTAGGCTGGAACTCTGGTGATGTCCTATGGTTTTTGGCGCACTAGTTCAAGTTTAGACCTGAGCTTTTTCGGAACTTTGGCTTCGACGCTTCGCTGTTCTTAGTGACTTGCACATTTCCTGGCACAATGTAATTGACGATGATATCGGTGACACTGTCAAAGATGTACAGCATCGCTACCTGGTATCTATATCTTTCACTTCATCGCATGAGTCTGGAGGTCGCGCGTGACGGTGAGTCGCAGGGGCGGTTGAGTTATGTGTAAGCGTTCGGAGTTCTCTGATGCCCTCCGGCATTCAGAGTTGGTTTATCAATTTCTTGTAGCAACTTCGCCATTGTAATTGATTGTTTGAGTATTGAATGTGCCAGGGCATCGAAACCAGAGACCGACCCACGAGACCTAGAAGGGAGGAATAAATGACAAAACCTTGGGCATTGCAATTTGTAACTATCATTAGGTGAGTCAAAAGTAAGATGAGTGTTTGCATTCCTAAGCGCGAAGTTTCATCAAAATTGGCTAATTATCGTTCTGGCAGTGGTACGAACTAGAATAGCACCAAAATATATGCTTTTTTTCCAAGTTTGCTGCATAGTGTTAACTAGACTAAGCTGGGTTGTGCAACATGTCAAATCTATGTTAGAATTATGATGTAGGTAAAGATGAAATGACTAAAACTTGGAAATCCCTTGCTATGATTCTGATCCCACTGAATTGGAATACTCGTCTTGCACCTAATACCATAGTCTGAAGATGTAGGGTCCAGTAGGATTGGTCTTGGAGCTGTTGGTTTCGTGCGACCTGTGATCTCTACACCATCCTTGCTCGGACTACCTCGTCACTTTATCCATGACAAATTGGCTTACGAATGGTTTTCCAACACATTGCTTGTCTATTTCGAAGCTCCCCTTGTATTCACTGTTGACGCTGCTTGATCAGCCCTGCACTGGGTATTATCGATGCGATCCACCCAGAAGAATTGTAGTTTATCGGACTTCTCGTTGAGTTGGTTTTGGAGAGTGGAATCGAGCCTTTCTTCACTGCTGATACTGTCTCAATTTCCTTGGCTGTAGATATGAGGAACAGAATTGGCTTAATTAGAAGGTGACGGCGTTGCACTCAAGGTGATGCTGAGAAGGTTTGAGAAACAGCAGAATATGTTAGATCTGAACTAGGCTATTCTTTGGAATGTTCAGTGGCTTCAATGTCCTGACGACTGATGCTCTGGGGAAAGTATAGATGGCGAGCCCTGGACATGGTCCTTCAGGATCCATGGTTCAAGGAAGTAGAAGATGGATTGAAAGGGCTGAAATCTAGCAGAGAATTTTTAACGCGAGTCTCTAACGATTCTTGAATATACTAAAAGTAGCTTTCAGGTATGCATAACGAATAGTATGGCATTTGCATGTCAGGGGAGTAGAAGAAACCTGAGTGAAACCAGATACTGCTGCTTTTCGTTACCATTTGATTCCATTGTACCTTTTCATCACTACTTCAAATCAATTACTCCACAATCTGAACTTTGGTGTTTCTTGGATTTTTAGTTTATATTACCTACTTAGAAGTGATAAAGTGAGCATTTTCGTTGGCTTGCGTGCAACTACCTTCTAAAGAAAACAAACGAGAAAGCATTTGACCAAGTTGTATTCATGCGCGTTCTACGATTCAAGAGTTGATCGGGTGTTGCTACGGTCCTGAAACAAAGACTTAACGTGCCTAATGGCTTCGCCACCTCGTGTAGGTCAAGCTAAAACCGTGTGTTTGTAAGCTAAAACATAGCAAATTTCATGCGCTGGGGAATGTGCACAGGGAAAACACCGGAGTGGACTGTAGTGGAGGTGGGTCATCACAAAGTATATTCTTTGTCACTTTTTCGTGGCCGTGTAGTACAAGCTGCATCATAGTTGAGCTAATCCCATGCACAATGCATGTTTCCCTTGATAGCTTTTCTGTGAGAGGCATGCACGGAAGGTTGCTGTATGTCTTCTATGGAGACAAAAGGCGATCCAAATTTTTGTGAAAAGGATGAGAATATATTTACAAAAGAAATAAAGAAAAAGACAGTAAATTAATACTTTGTATGTCCAAAGAAATGTTATTTCATTCAGTGTACTGTTATACACTTAATTGATTCATTTTACGGTGTTCGATAGTGATGATATTCTTTTTATTTTATTTTGTTTGTTTGTTTGTTTGTTTGTTTGTTTGTTTTTTTTTTTTTTTTTCTCTCTCTCCCTACCCCCCAGTTATAAATTGCAACTTCAATGTTTAGTCAAATTGGATGAAAACATTATCCCATCATCCAAGCATAATAAAATTGGATGAAAACATACATTTTTGTCATTGTATTATTGTTAAAATTTAGAAATAATGCCAAGTAGGTGCATTACCACCTTTAGCGATGTCACTACTTTGAAACTCATTTTTTACAATAAAATGTAAACTATTCTTAATTAGTTGTAAAAAATGTTTTATAGTACAAAAATATCTTTCTTAACAAGATTTTTTGTTTAGAATTTCAAAATCTAACCTTCTATACTCAAGTTGTAAATAAGGTTATAGTTTTTATTTAGATTTCAAATAGATTTGTAATTTTTTTGATAAGACAAAATAGTTCCAAAACTTCAAAACTTATATAATATTGTACCCAATAGAACTAGACAAGAATTTGATTATCATTTCTACATTTATTAATAAAAATAAGATAATTTATAATATTGTCTAAGAACATATGTAACAAATTTGAAGGCATCTACTTGTATTCCCAAATTCTTACTTTTGACTAAGAGTTAAGTATGTACAATAGAACTATAAGTACAAAAATTGTACTATTTTTAGTCAAAAGTAAAAAAATTGTTGTATTTTTTGAATTTAATGCCAATTCAATTAATATTTTGATAACTAATAATCACCTACTCTTATTCCATTGATTCTAAAAAATTAAAATATATATACTTAATACTCAGCAAATACAAATCTTTATCCACTAATGGGTATCAATTACCCTTTTAATCATCCTTAACTAATTTATTAATTTTTTTGGATTTTTTGGAAAGACTTCCAGCTAATCCTTCTTTCAAGAGATCTACAAACATCTCCATGTTGCAAAATATTTCAACATTAGACAAATCCTAAACCTAATAAAGGTTAGAGTTATGTACAATTATAACAAGTTCAAAGAATACATGTCTTCATTTGATCAATAGCAGTATATATATATATATATATAAATATTGTGTTTGTTGTTTTGATAAACATTGGTAAAAATTTATAAAAATATATGCTATTATAATATAAAAATATTGAACTTTAAATTATTATTTTACAAAATTAAAACATCCTAACTTGAATTACTATTTGTGGTTGGATTTATGATAAAGTTATATTATTATATAGCTTTGACACACCTAAAGATTTTGTGTTAAATAATACCAGTAAAAATAATAAATAGATAAAATATTCAGAAAATAAATAAAATAATTTTAATACTTGTTGGATATATGCTTGACATTTTTAAATTGGTATTTTGAAATCTCTGCTCAAGATTAAAAGTTGAAACAAAATGTTTAAAAAATTAAAAATAAAATACAAATCTAATGAAATTTTTATTTATTTATTTATTTATTTTTAATCTTAATACAAAAGTTAGTGACACTCTTCGAAGAAGATATCTACAATAAGATAGAAGGTATTTTATATAAGATAAATATATATATATATATATATATATATATATATATATATATATATATATAATAGATATATAAACTAACCTTGTAAGTTTAAGAAATGTAATAAGCCAATATATATTGAAAATTGGTCTGTTTTAGTAGTTTGTAGTAAAAAGAATTATACAATACTCAAAACATTAACAATGTCTCAAATAGCTTTTTAGATGTAATTACATATAGATGCTATAATTAAATTATATAAACTAAGAAATCTAATAAAAATAATTTAATATTTATTATTAATTATACATTTTATTTTTTAAATTGAGTTAAACAATCTTAGATTGTTTGTTTTTATTATAGAACCAATGCACCAAAGAAGCAATTTAGAGAAAAAAGAGGCAATATCCATGATGCATGACAACTAAAGATGTAGACTATTTGTTAAAAGTTTCAAACATAGTTTCATGGACATAATCATGTAAGCTAGTAATTACATATACAAATAGGTAGAAGTAAGTAAAAGTAGGTAAAAATAAGTTAATTCTATAGTATTTAATATGGTAGCTTCCTAGAAGCTTCATAGATGCTACTTTGACTTCATAGGTGTCTTTAATTGACTTTTTGGATTAGAAACGTGGTCAACAAGTTGGCCATGTGCCACACATATTGTTAGCTTGAAGATCAAGCTAACTATGTGGCCCACACGTAGAAAAACTTGCCTTGTAAGTCAAGGCATGTATCCTACAAAGTCAACACATATTGGAGGTCCTATAGAACGTCACCACGTAGTCCCTAGTTAGATAGTATATATAGAGACAAGAGTGAAGGCTTCTTCACTCTTGTCAACTCCTTTTTTGATTCCAGTCTAGTTTCAAGGGTCTCTAGTTTCTTTGTCTTTTGGCAATAGCCATTCCAGTTTCTCTTTCAATATACATACTTATTTATTTATATTTTGTTACTTCTCTTTGAGTGAAGGCTCACTTGTCTGAATTATTTTTTTATCGAGTTCTTGTCCTTGACAGATTGACAAGAGTACACCTACAATATCAGAGCTTTGTCTAATCTTGATTAAGAGTGGATTACCCCTTTTTCTTGATAAGATATAAGCATATTAGAAGTTGCGGATTACCCTCTTCTAAACTGATATTGTCCTTAGTATTTTCTTTGTTCTCAAGTCCTCTCTTCTATTTGTCTTGAGCGATATAAGATATCTTCTCTCTTCTAAGTGTTGTCATGGCAAAACTTGTTGAAATGAAGGGTGCAATGGCACAAATGCAAGAGCAATTGAGGGAGTTAATGCTTGCGATGCATCAACTCAATTTACCACCACAAGGAGCAACAAGATTGGCAAGAAGTGAAGATATAGAAATGGTTGGAGCTGCTTCAACATCTGCACCAAACCATGTCCTTTCTCCTATAGTAGAACGCCCTTCAAATATTAGAGAACCAAGAATTGCCCTACCCGAGAAGTTTGATGGCACCAAATCCAAGTTTCGAGGATTTATCAATCAAGTGCAACTTGTGATTGAACTTCAACCCCAAAGCTATCTAACTCCAAGATCGCAAGTTAGATTCATTGGTATGTTTCTTTCAGGTTCAGTACTATTGTGGTTTTCATCTTTTCTTAAACGACGAAATCCAATATTGGATAATCTAGAGGCTTTTTTGGTGGAGTTTTGATCCATGTATGGAGAACATGATGCAATTCGTGTTGCAACTAATAAGATCCGTATTTTACGACAAGGCAATCGATCAGTAATGTTATACGCTTCACAATTTCGACAACTTACAATTGATATCAAGTGGGATGATACTGCACTTATTAGTCAATTTTTCTACAGATTACAATATGAGGTAAAAAAATTAATGCTCAACTTACCTGATCCTCAAACATTGAGTCAAGCAATTGACTTTACTATGAAGTGCGACAATTGCCTTTTTGAATTTCGATCTGAGAACCGTACAAGTGGACCTCAACGTTACTATAATTCAATGGCAACACCAACACCTCTTCAATACATACATTCGAAAGTAGAGGATATGCAAATTGATGTAGTACATTTCAAACCTCTTACTGAGCAAGAAAAGACTCGTCGTCGTCAAGAAGGATTATGTTTATATTGTGGAGAATCAAAGCACACTGCTCAAAATTGTCCAAAGAAACGACGCAATCACAAAATGAGGAGTATGGCTGTGAAAGAAGACAATATGTCGGAAAACGAGTTTGTCTAGCTACAATAGGGACCGTGCGGCTGGAACCTTGTACAACATCTAGTAAAGGTCCTATTCTCTCCTCAGAGCCCTCTCCTTGTTTTACATTAAATGTTATTTTAGGACCTAAACATTACAAAGTCTCTGTCTTATTAGATTCAAGAGCCTCAGCGTATTTTTTAGATGAAGAATTTACTAAAAGACATAGCATATATTTAATAAAGAAAACTAAACCTGTTCATGTAGAAGTCATAGATGGTCGTCCATTGTCTTCTGGAGATATTACTCACAAAATCCTTCCTATAGAAATAATAATCAATGGTCATAATAGTTTTGTAGTATTTAATATCATTAGATCTCTCTCTAATCCAGTAATTTTAGGTTTATCGTGGTTAGAAAAATACAACCCTCAAATAGATTGGAATTTCCAAACTCTTACTTTCTCTAAAAGTATAACTAACAGTGTAGTTAATCAAGTAGAGAGTCATAAGTTCAATTTAATTAAACCTGTATTTATAGGTGTAAAAACTTTCTTGCATGCTGCTATGAAAGAATCACCATATATTATTTATGCCACATCCGTTTCTACTGGTGAAAAGACTTCAAGTGGCATTTCAAGCCAATATCAAGAATTT